ATAGCCTTAAAACCCAGAAAACAACCACTACAAACCAAAGCTCACAACCCCCACAAACCCAGCCTCATCTCTGATTTTTAAGACCACCCAGGAGACAGGATTGAAGAAAGATTACCCCATGTTTGGAGGAGGATGTTGCTAGGAAGCTTCCTCATGTTCACATTCATTGCATTGTGAATTATTTCCCCCTTTCCCCTGTCTATATAAATCAGGCCCTATGGCCAAATGTAACACATCTCTGAATATTGAAAACATCTTTTACTCTTTGAGTATTATTAAAATAGTGTGATGCTATTTTAGCCAAATTCCTAATTCTATATCTTAAGAGTGGTTATCTTAAGTGTGAGTTTTAGGTTCTAGATATTTGATTAAGTGTGTCATATCTTAATTAAATTCTAGATTCAAACCCCAAGTTAGGATAAGAGTGTGTAATATCTCTTAAACACCAACTTGGTTTATCCATCCCTGATTTTCTTCCATTTCATATCCCCCCATTTCTCCTCTTAATCTCACTCTTTTCTTCTAATTAAAATACCCAAAAGAACTCCCTCATCAACTCCATATATTTCCAGGCCATTCCCCCACAAAAACACCCTTCTTCCTGCCCAGAATTCTGCCAAATAATCGATTATCATTCCCCACAATCGATTATCAATCCCATTGGAAACACCTGCAGGGCTCAATAATCGATTATCCCTTTAAGATAATTGACTATCAGCTTCCCCAGAAATTCTGCAGCTTTCAGTAATCGATTGTCACTTTGTGTAAATCAATTATCTCCTGCTCCAGAACCCTGAACTCAAAGCTAAATCATTCCTTGAGTTCTCCTCAAAATATCAACTCGTTTAGACCCCCGGTTCGGGTATAACACTATGAAGGACAATGATGTGGATCAACTGAGGGGACTTCTGCCACCACCCACCTATCTAGAGTCTCCTCCTTTTATCCTGTTGCCACCAAGCCCCAGGGATGAGTCAAGGATCCTGGACCTTGACCCAGTGAAATTTCAAACAATGTGGTATCAGAAGAGAGTCAAAAGGGCCAAACTTTATGACTCTCAGATCGGAAAGTCACGGAAAAAGTGGGTGAGCGTCAAGATACGGACGTTAAAGAAGCACTTAACTGGAGGCAACCCGTCATTCAAATAACTAAAATATTTAAATAAATTTAATAATTTTATTTGTTATTAAGTTTATACTTGCCGCAGTAGTTTTGGGGGCAAGATTTTATGTGTTTATTTATGTGTGTGCAGATGCCTCATCGTCCTTCTTACCCTACTATGGACCGTAATGAGGTCCACTTGATTGATGGTGCCTCTAGGCCGAGGTTCGATGAGTGGGGACACTCACGGGTGTTACACGAGTCTGTGTTTCTGGCTTAGGACACACTAACCGACTATGGCTATGCAGAGGAGATGGAGGAGCTGCTTGAGGGGACCAGATGGCAGCGCTTGCTTCAGATGAGGGCAGAGTCTAGCCTACCACTGACCATCGAGTGCTTATGCTCGATATCTGCTATCCCGGAGATTGAGTCACGACAAATGACTCATACCTTAATCACTGCAGATACTACATTTGCCTTCACTCTTGCGGGCCAGTCTACGGTGAGAGAGATGGTTGTTCGTCTCGGGCTCTACACCCAGGAGGAGACCGAGCAGCCTGAGTTCTACGACGCTCCCTTTTGTCTTCCCGTAGATTTTGACGTAGTAGCTTTCTAGAGGGAGCACTCATCTGACGACAAGGAGTTCGTCAACAAGAAGAGTAAGGCACGATATTGGATTCGCCCTGGAGGATCCTATCTTTTGTTCTTTCGACATCCTTCTTTGGGAGGATGTCGAACATTGATAGGGTCTACGAGGAGGATATGTTTGTCTTCTAGAGCTTACATGACCGCCAGCCGGCGAACGTGGCTGTGTACTTGGCCAGATTCTTATACTCCCAGTCCTACGGGTGTAGAACGCACTTGGTGTGTGGGTTCGTGATTACACTGCTCTTTCGCTCCCTCATAGGGAACACACCGATCCCACGACCCATGTAGTTGATGAGGGAGTTAGATGGCAACATGCTCCGGAATGCTCACATCCACCAAAGACTCTTCCCTAGCTCTTCTGAGAGCACTACGGCTTCTACCGTCCGCACTTCACATGAGATGGGAGAGTCTTCCGGTCAGAGATCGTCTCAGCGCCTTCCTGGTCGACGACCCACCAGAGCACAGTTGGCTCGCGCTCGGTAGCACCGGCATGGGCCCAGCAGCTCTTGGAGAACCAGAATACAGTTATGTAGTCTGTCGCGGCACTCCAGCAGCAGGTGCATGGTTTAGACAGGATGCGTGAGGCATTGGGTTTTAAAAACCCGACAAACCTCCCGCCGCATCAGCAGCAGCACCGAGACGATGATCCCTCCACCTCCCAGCCTCCGCAGTGATCTCCTACTTTCTCCAATAACTTTTTATCTTATTTGAGCTGGAATTGATGACTTGACTAGTTTATTTGGATTCCTGTTTGACTTCTTCTGGTAAACTTTTATGGTTTTGCTTATTTACTATTTCAATCATCATTTTGAATATTTTACATATGCAATCATCTTAGTCATCATATCCTTGATATTTCAACCAAAAATTCTACTCTAAAATACTTTTTTTTTGTCGTGAGGGCGCGGTTCCATTCAAGTGTGAGGACGATGTGAATTATTGGTTAAAATATTCCAGGTTAGAATTGTTTGCTTTGCATATTTGTGGGTAAAGATTTTATAAGTATGGTCATCAACTCTTTTGTTTAAATAATTAAGTTTTTAGTTATCACCCATAAAAATTGGGAATTTTTAAATTTTTGTCAAATTTTATTCTTTTTCCCTATTTTTTTTCAAACGATTTCTAAAATCATTTGGGATACATTAGTATTTTCTAAGTTTTTTTAAGATCAATTAATTTTTAAATAGCTTCTTTAAAAATGTCGTTTCTCATAAAGGTTTCTTCTAAATACAAGGGTCTATATAAAATTTTCTAATGGTTTAACTTTTATTTGTTGGGATTGCGCTTAAGTGACGAATTAGAAATTCTATCTCCGTAAAGGGGCTCTGCTTCTCCCGCTAATCGTATAAGGCGAGGGAGCAAGTATGCATTTGTCATAGAATAAATCCACAATCTCAATAATAAAATATGCCTTGGTGATTCCGAGATTTCTCTCGTGATAAATAATGCTTAATAAAATAAATAGGCCCTTATTGTTTGACAAAAAAACCTTTTTGGAAATCCATTTTTATTAGAGCTTTTAAATTCTTTTTTATTTTAAAATAATCCTTAGAAATATGATTGTCCCAATGAAAATTTAGAATTTAGTTTTGATTTAATTGGGTAAAAATATTGGTTTGATAAAACACTTTTAAATTTCTGACAATATGGGTGAGAATCTATAAATTTACTTGTTCATGCAAAAACGTTGATGACCATCTTATCTTTCTTTTCCCTCAAGTTGTGTAACTTAAACATTTCTTTTGTAATTGCTAATTTGTTTTCATGATTAACTTATTCAATTTGTTGCTTGAGGGCAAGCAACATTTAAGTGTGAGGAAATTAATAAGTTCATTTTGTTCTTATTTTATTCTACATATATTAAGCGTTATTGCACGAAAATGGTAATAAATTTACCCATTAAAGTGTCTAGTAGTGACAAAACTTATGTTTTGTCTCAAGAAGAATAAAATATGGGTTCCAAATTAAATTAAGTGGATTTGTCAATTTTATGTTCCAAATTGGATGAAAAGTTTTAGATTTTAAAGATCATACTACTTCGGAGGTAGAAATCAACGTCCGGGACCCAATTGGGCCACGACGGAACAATTTCGGACCCAAATTTGCAAGGAATCGCGATTGGAGGCAAATTGGGCGTAGGATTCGGGTCCTGGGTGTTCAAGGTTGGACGCCCGTGGTAGTTGGACGCCCAAGAAACCAGAGTTGACGCGGCTTCACCATGCGGCGTACGCGGACTGGGCGGAACACATATTAAGGGCGCGGGCGTCCAAAGTTGGATGCCCAGGGAGTTGGACGCCCGTACTCTCTGCCCTATAAGTACAGCGCTCCTCTCCCCCATTCTATACCACTGCCCTATAAGTTCAACGCTCCTCTCCCCCATTCTACACCATTCTACAACCCTTACTCGGGTTTTCTCCTCTTTTTCACTCAATATTAGTTGTATATTAGTTTAATTATTATTTTGAAGTATTTTCCGGAGGATTTGACTCCCGATCTGTTCTATTCCGCTTTTACGGAAGTTGTAAGTTTTCTTTATTTAATAAAATGCTGTTTTAATTTATGTTTGCATAGTATGAGTTAGGGTCCGGATCTCTAGGTCCAGACTAGTTTGGTTGTTTCTTTTTTATATTAAATTAATGTTGGAATAGTTAATCTATTGTTCTTGCCTTATTTGGTTAATTAAACTCGTAAGATTTAATTGGCCATTCACTGAGAAAATATCGTATGTCAAATGGTTATGATATTCAAGTGCAACAGATTAAGTACAAATCTAGAAATGGATGAGAGTAGTAATAGAAATATTATTATTCCAATTGTTAATTTAATATGATAAATAGATCCAAATGATGTCCTGACCCTAGGTCCAGATCTAAGCTTATACTATGTAAAATTAATTTACTATTTTTACTCTGCTCCTTCTATATCCGTTCCGAGAAGACTTTCATAAACCAATGCTAATCTTCGCCTAGTTAGAGTAATTAAACTGATTCCCTTCGTCCATTCCTCGAGAGATACGACACTCGGAGAGAAAACTACCCTTTATATTATTGATGGAATATATCCAGATTATTTCACAATTATCAAATCACTCTCAGAACCAACCACGGCAGATGTACAAAAAAGCTAATGAGGCAACAAGAAAGGATATCGAACAAGTCTTTGGGGTGTTGAAGGATAAGTAGCACATTATAAACTATCCGTTCAAGTGTTATTCTCACACGAAAATAAGGAATATTATGTACACATGTATTGTTCTTTATAATATGATTATAGAGAACAACGAATTTGAAATTTGTCGTTTCTACTCGGACAATGAGGCACTTACCTACAAAGAGATCAACAAAAAAAGAAGAAATCACCAAAAATTTGAAGCCGAGAGATTCATGATACACTAAAAGAAGATTTGATTGAAACTATTTTCAATCGTTCAAATAATCATTTATTTTATGTCACTTTTTTTGTGTTTTACTTAAATCTATGTAACTTTTATTCAAGTTTGTTAGTCGTTCAAGTAATGTAATTTTTATTTCTATTATTATTAATGAAATCTTTTTTTATTAATGTAATTTTTTTAAAAAACTTGCTGTAGTTTTTTTATTGAATGCATTTTTTTAATTTAATAAATTATTGCATCTTAAATTTAATTCATTAATGAAATCTTATTAATTTAGTTTTATAAAATGTATATTAAAAATAAAAAATGAAAGGTTTGAAGCCCCAAGCTTCAAACTCATTGCCTGTAAAATTGTGAGGTAATCAAAGAAGAGTTAAAGCTGATATGACAAAAAAAAGTTTGAAGCTTAAAATGTATCTCCAATGCTCTAATGCAAACTGCAAAGCCCCACTTTCAATAGATTTTCTTCTATGCATTGAATCAAGCAGAAACTTATGAGTATAGTCGTATAGGCCACAAACATCAAAGTTCCTAACTCACAATCTGACATTATGGTCATATACTCTTGTATTCCATAAAAAAGTTCCGAATTTCATTTTGTCACTCCCAAACCAGATTTCACTTTCTTTCAAACGAAAAGGAAATGTTGCTCATACTATTAGTCTTGTCAAATTTTGACAGCAAAATTTTACTTCAAGAATCACTGGTTTTCATTTTGGAACAGAAAGTATTAGTGAAATTAAAAGTAAACTCAACACTAGCTTTAACTTATCATTGGTGTGCTATAATGCAAATTTTTTCTTTTTATACAAAAAACATATATTTACTAAGTCCTCTAAAAAAACAATAAGGGTCCATTTGGTACACGGAATTGACAAAATTAGAATTAAATTGGGAGATGAAATTCTAAGAAATTGATTTTAGGTAGTGTTTGGCAACTAGCATTTCATTTCAATTCATGCATTTCAATTCCAAAATTTGAAATCCTAAATTTTAAATGACAAAAGAAAGTGCATGAATTTCAAATTAAACTTTGTTTTGAATGTATAGAATTTTATCCAAATCCAATTTCAAAATGCTTAAGTTTGCCAAACATGGAATTTAAGCCAAATCTGGATTTGAAAACCAAATTCATGTTCCCAAACATACCATTAATGAAATTAAATTCTCCAATTTCAATTTAGTTTTGGCACTACCAATTCCAAATTCACAAATTGTTTTGCTACCAAACAACAAAATTGAAATTGTCATCTCTTATTCTAATTTCATAGTTTAAATTCTGTGTACCAAACACAGCCTAAGAGATGAGGATAAAAAGTCTTAAATAATTTTAAATTTCAAAAAGGAGCAGATATGCACATTCATGACTAAATTGTATTTAAATGAGTTTGTTCATCATTATATCCAATTTTTACATGTTTACAACATTTAACTGTGTTCAAAACCCAAGCTGCATGGTAATAATGAGAGAGAGAGAGAGAGAGAGAGAGAGAGGGAGAGGGAGAGGGAGA